ACAAGGGTGTCATGTTCCAGCTCCTGCAAGCAGTAGACCTTGGCAGCTTTGGCCATGTGGCTCTGGCTTTAGAGTTAAGAACAGAAGGGACTACTGGGACAATTGATGCTGGTTAGCTGGAGCTAAGAAATTATCAGTGATTAAGAAAAGACCAGCATCATTGAGGTGAAATCTTCTGGGAAGTGTTTTCTGAGAGCACAAAGAAGCTGTGTTCCAGAGATAGCCAAGGTTGTACCAAGCAGCCATACTTGGTAATGTGTAAGAGTCACCCAGTTGGTACTGGTTTTGAAGACATGAAGGGGTCATGAAGAGCAGATGAGGTGTGGCACTGTGAGAGGCCATGGAAGGCCATTGGTGAAGGTGCAGCCTCAGTTGCAGTTGATGGCCCAGGACTGAAGGGATCATGCAAAGGATCTGAGTCTTGGCACCATGAAGGGAGCCTCTGAAAGGCTATTGGTGAAGCCTAGTTACAGTGGAAGACTTCAGTGTACTGGAGATGCCAGTACCATGGGATGACCACCAAGTACAGCAGTGGCAGTGGAGTGGGTCAACCTGAGCTTAGAGTGCTACAGAGGGCAGAGCTGGAGAAGTGGCCCAAGCCCTTTGGAGGAGCCCAGAAGATCATGTGTGAATCCCAGACATTGAAACAAGAAGCTATAACATTGAAGTTGCCTTGAAGAACCCAAGATGTTTGAGATACCAGAGCCATGGGATACGTGCTGAGGAAAGCTGCTAACAGGGAGTGGAACCAGCCCAGGAGAAAGAAGTTATTGCAGTCAACAAAGATGAAAAAGGAGTCGAAGATCTGAAGATCGCCTTGAAATCAGACCTAGAAATGCAGAGTTTGGGGTTTGCCCAGCTAGTTTCCTGTCTTGCTTTGGGGGTTACAGTTAAGTGATCAGATGAATCTCAGAAGAGACTTTGGACTTTGAACATTGTTGAGACTGCTATAGAGTATGGGGACCTTTGAAGTTGGACTAAATGTATTTTGCATCTTGCTGTGTTTAGGTATGGCCTCCATAGATGCAAATGCTTGAACAAGCCTAAGGGGGCCAGGGAGTGGAATGTGATGGCTTGTATATGCTCACCCCAGGGAGTGACACTATTAGAAGGTGTGACCCTGTTGGAGTAGATGTGTCATTGTGGGTGTGGGATTTAAGACCCTCATTCTAGCTGCCTGGAGGCCAGTATTCTACTAACAGCCTTCAGATAAAGATGTAGAACTCTCAGCTCCTCCTGCACCATGCCTGCCTGGATGCTGCCATGCTCCCACCTTGATGATAATGGACTTGGAACCTGTAAGCCAGTCCCAATTAAATGTTACAAGAGTTGCCTTGGTCATGGTGTCTGTTCACAGCAGTAAAACCCTAGCTAAGACAGGCCTTAAGTATGCCAGGTTGACCTTGAGCTCCCTATGTAGCCAAGGATGACTATGGACTTCTGCTGTTCCTGCCTCTGTGTCTGAGTGCTAGGCTTACAGGAATGTGCCTCCAAACATTGTTTACATGGTGCTGATGAAGGGGACAAACTCAGAGCTTCCAGCATGCTAAGCAAGCACTCTACCGGCTGCGTTATATCCCTAGCCCCATGGTTTCAACTTTCTGTCCTTCAAGAACATCCAGTTCTTCATCTCCTTCGCACAGCATCCACTGAACTGGGACAGCTTTTGGCTCTTTTGTTTGAAAAGAAAACCTAGGAGACATCCAAGCTGTCACTGGGGTAATGTAGCAACTCAGAGCCATCAGCTTTTCTTGAGAAGATGATTGAGCCCTGTGCCCATCTGTGTCCCATGCTTTGGGCCCTACTAAAGGTCTGGCAATGTCCCTAATGCCCAGCTTCGCCCCCACTACAGGCCTTTTTTTTGGTTTTTCGAGACAGGGTTTCTCTGTGTAGTCCTGGCTGTCCTGGAGCTCACTCTGTAGACCAGGCTGGCCTCAAACTCAGAAATCTGCCTGTCTCTGCCTCCCAAGTGCTGGGATTAAAGGCGTGCGCCACCACCGCCCAGCTGGCTGATGCCTCACTGTCTTAAGAACAGGTCTTTGTGCCCTAGAAGGGGAGTCAAGCTCAGAGCCCAGGACCAGAGGGGCTGGCCAGATCCCCATGCCACGGCTGTGGTGAGTCTTGGGGTCCTCACTTGTGAAATAGAGGCCATCAATCACCTATGGCTACCACGAAGGTGGCAGGAGATCATATTTACATATGAAAGGTACTTTCAGGTGTGCCTGGCCCCAGGCAAGAGCTCCAAAGATGGCCAGCAAGATAGTTATACAGGAGGGAGTTTGATGCAAGTACTTGGCCTAAGGCTGACCAAGAATGTTTTCTTGCCCTTGGTTTTTGGTTATGAAAACACCAATGTATTTTCCAGACTAGACTTCCTATTAGCCAAGTGCCCAGGACAAATGTATGCCATGTAACCAAGAAGTTTTGTTGGCTAGCTAGCCTCCATCACTGAGGACCAAATGGAGCTACACACAGGTGCCTGGCCGCTGCCTGTTCTGTGTAGCTAACTTCTGTTTGGCTCTTCCCAGTAGTTTATCCATGCTGTTCCTCTTAGGTATGGTAGATTCCCAGAAGGGCAGACCCCAGTAGGTGTGGCTACCATCAGCAGCCTCTTGTACCTGCAAGCCTTGAGCCCAAGGAGGAGTGAAGAGTGGGCAGAGGGCAGGTGGTGGTGGTGGACTGGGGGAGGTGAAAACATGCTCATCTCACTGGAGCTCCAACAAGGCGTTATGATTCAAATGGGAAAGGAAATCCTTAACTTCAGAAGTAGGTAGCATGTGAATGCAAGAACTCTTTAACTGGACAAGGTGCTGGAAATAAGTGACTGGTGACTGCTTAGCCCCAAATAGGACATCCATGTCAACACCCCACCTCACCCTGCCACCCCAAGGCTGGGGAAACAGAAGATGGGAACTCCGTAAGAGGCAGAGGATGGGGAGGAACGCTGTGATGGGCTGTCTTCTGAGTATAGCATGGCTTTTGTTTTCATGGACTCACTGCAGCTATGGTTAAGACTGACAGAAGAGCCAGCCAATAAGATCCGTCAACGTTCTTTCAGAGAGCACCAACTGGACTGGATGCATTCAAAGGGGGTGGGGCCATGAAGGTGGGCAAGGGATGTGGTGGGAGTGGAAGGGAGGAGGTAGGGATGGACAGGATCAAGATACATTGTATAGGTGTATGGGATTGTCAAAGAATAAATAAAAGCTTAAAAAATGAAAAGAAAACCTGTGAAGTTTAACAGACCTAGGACAGAAAGGATGAGACTTGTCAGAACTATCCTCAGGGTCTTAAATATGGGTTTTTTAGTTACAACAATTTGCAACAACAATACCAACAAAAGAGACAAAGATTGTATGAAAGTTTCTTTTAATGATTAAAAATCTGAAACATTGAGAAACCCTTGGGAAATTCATCTTAGTCTTCCTTCCTTCCTTCCTTCCTTCCTTCCTTCCTTCCTTCCTTCCTTCCTTTCTTCTTTCCCTCATCTCTCATTTCTCCTTGTCTAACAGCGATCCTCACTCATATTGAGCTACTGGTTAGTGTAATGTTAGGGTTCAGTTTTGTTGAGAATATAAGATTACCCCAGTCAGCACTCAGTCACAGATTTTGTTAAACATTATAACGAACTTCATGTAATCTCTTAGTTTGTATTTTAATTTCTAAAAATAAACCCCCCTAATCTTTTGTTTGTGTTTTAGTATGAAATTTTGGCTGAGTTAAGTGGACAAATGGCAGATTTGGGTACCAGTGTGGCTGGGATAACCAAAGTCCTCCTGCCTGTGCCATTGAGACACCCAATTTAGGGCTGAGAATAGGATCCAGCAGAAGAGTGCTTACCCAGCATGCATAGCCCCCTAGGTTCCATCCTCAGAATCAAGGTAGAATAATCCCCAAACCTAATTTAGTTGTAGATCTCAATCTCCTACTTTGTCAGAGAATACATCAGCTAGTTAAAGCTGACCGAGGCTAGAATCCTGGCTCTCCTGGTAGCTGGCAGGACATCCCTGCATCTGGGGCTCCATCTCTAAGATGTCACTCACTTCTTTACGCTGTGGTGACAAAGTGAGATCTCCTAGCAGAACGTCTGATTTTGCGGACTCTCCATGTCCTTCCTAATTATGTTTTCTTCTTTCAGATCAGATGTCCCTCACCTGGAATGAGGCAGCCAGAGATAGCCGTTGTCTCTCTCTTGGCTCTGGAGTCAAGTCCCTTTTCTCCTCCAAGGAGTGGTCTGAGAACATGCCCAAACACATCAAGAGACAGCAGACACCAGACAAGAGCATTTTAGATCAGCCTTAAGAAGAGAAAGAATGCCCACACCTAGTTTTCTCAGGGCTTGAGAAGATTCTAATTTAGCAAACTGCTGTGCCTTGAAAGGAAAAGGTGGAGCTCCCTGGGATGCGCCTACGAGGAGGGAGACGCTATCCTGGTGGACACTGCTGTGAGGGTGGTGTCCTCAGTGAGTCACTCTGGGAAAGACTGGCCCAGCACACACATCTGAATTGTCCCTTGAGATTCAGGTTACATCAAAGGACTCTTCAGGAAGAAAGTTGAACAGGAAGGTGTCCGTCCCTGATCCCAGAGAATGAAAAACATCCCAGTTCCCCACCGGAAGCAGGAGACATAAAGGTATTTAACAAAGTATTTCAAAGGGGCTCATCTTCTGCTGTGAACATCTGGAGACTTCTGTTGGGTGAATTTCAGTGCCCGTGACACCCAGACTATCTACAAAGACTAAGACATGCCAGGGGTTGAGTGCTCAAAAGAGCCCATGGAAAATTCCAAGAGGCAAATTCTTAGGACATGCTCCAAGGGTCAAGGGGAAATAGTCATTTCTTCAGATCAAGGTTCCCAGTTCCCACCCACCGTCCCGGTCAAGGGCAGAAAAAGCCCCTGCCAAGACAACTCCTTCCTCCCTTAGCTGGAAGTTAAATATAACAAACCCTAAACCCTGACAGAAGGTAAACACAACACCCAAGAGACTGAACACGGCTTCCTTTTGTTTTTGTGTTTGTTTTGGTTTGGTTTTGGCTTGTTTTCTTTTCTCCACCAGCCAGGCTGTGTTCTAAGAAGTTAATGGGGAAGATGGGCTGACCAGTTAATTGCATCTGGGTTTCAGTCCCCGGTCCACTGTCCTATGAAGACTTCCATCTGATTAAGGAAAACACAGCGTGCACCACGTAGAGCAGAGTAGCCACATAGGCAAACACCTGGAATCAGAGGAAAATTCATTAGTGTGAGGTCATATATGCATGTATGTGTGCATGTGCGTGTGTGTGTGCGCGTGTGTGTGTGTGTGTGCATGGGACTGTGAGGGCTTCACTGTCACATGGCACTAGAGGACAGATTCAGGCGGGGTATGTGGACCACCCAGATTCTCAGGTAGTCTAACCTTGCTGTCTTACTGTCATGGGGTCATCTGACTTGACTGGGGACATCAAAGTCCCCTTCAGTAGAATCATCACAACTGGGTGTCAGTGACTCTGGAAAACTTTCCTTTGAACACTGGTAAGACCACAACCAGTATTTCTCAGCTGTGGTTCTAGAAGCTAGGCTATGATATTATGAATGCCTGGGCTTACTGCTTCTGGTTAAGTTTCCTGTGTTGTCTGTATATGATTTGCTTGTGTGTGTGCATGTGCATGTGTGTGCATGCATGTGTGTGTGTGTGTGCGCGTGTGTGAGTGTGTTGTGTGTAGGCTGGAGAAGGGCATCAGATGTTCTCTATAAGATTCTCACTTTTTGTCTTTGAGGCAGGGTCTGTCTGTGAACCTGAACCCCTACTGACAGCTACTGAGTGCTATAGGTTCTCCTGTCTCTGTCCACTGACTGCTAGAGTTTTACAGCATTTGGAGGATGTCCAGCTTGTTATGGGATCTGAACGCTGGTCCTTATGCTTATACAATAAGCTCTCTTAACCACTGAGACATCTTTCCATCTCTCAGAGTCTTCCTCTTAATCCCTGATTCTTCATTTCCCAGGCACAGGTGAGGTAACAAGGCTTCAGGGGAAGCAGAGAAGGCAGAGGACAGGGGACACCTAGCTTCTATCAACAGTAAGTGGTGCACAGAGACGCTGCTGAGGCGGTGCAGCCCGTCACCTCTGACTTGCTGTGCTCACCTGGGCTCTGTGTGCCTCCATCACCCTACTCTGGGTAGCTGACCTCCCTAAAAGCTTTCCTACTCCCAAATCCAATATTTGCGCCTGGTTTTGTGACCTTCCTTGGGCAAGGGATCAAGAGTTTCCAGCTCAGGCACAACATTTAGGGCGGCCACGCTTCTGTGAGTCTTGGAAATGCCCATAAACAGCACCCACGGTGCTCAAGCATGGGTGAATGCTCCACCCACATTGGCCAGAGGCGATGTGTAACCTGAGTTAGTTAGTGACAAATTTCTGAGAACCAAGGAACTCCTAACTACCCAAGTCACCTGTCCCCCATTCAGATGGGACTTCCAGGCCCAAGGAGAACCCTTGGCAGAAGCACCTCGGGAGTTCTAGAAGAGACAGCAAGTGAAGATTTAGTTTGCAGATAAGATTAAGATATCCCCGAGCACACCATGGATATTGAGAGTCCAGGGCATGCTCAGATATTTTGACCTTCAAAAACCCTTTCCTGTGAACTTCTGCCATGATGGCCCACCACAATGAGAAATCTCCTTGGTCAACCTCTGACAACCACAGAAGGTTTTCTGTCAAAGAAGCTCCACACGCTGCCACCAAAGGTCAGGGTGAAAAAACTGGGCTTCAGAAACAGATCCCAGTTAGGGCCAAAGAGGCTCCAAGATCAGGTGTCAATTCCCTGTGGACCAACCCAGAGAAGACTGAATGGAAGTAGCTCTATATTGAACCTGGCTCACACGTCACTTTATTGGTTCTAGCCCAGTGTACTTGACAAATGAGAACATCTGGTTTTTGATTCTAGCACACCTGACTTTGGCTGGGCATGTACATGTCTATCCATAGAGCCCAAAAAGAAAGCCTAGGGACAGAGTCAGCCCTGGGTGAGTAGATACTGTGAAAGGCCCACAATGGAGGCAACATAATAACCAGTCTCCATCTCCATCCAATCACACGGATGACTCTTATGGATATAAAGGTTGAGGGGGGAAGCTAAGGATAAAAGAATGAGCCTTGCATAATTCCACCTCTAGAAGCAGGCAAAACTGAATTGGGTCTCTCTCTCTGTCCCTCCCCATCCTGGTGTGTGTGTGTGTGTGTGTGTGTGTGTGTGTGTGTGTGTGTAGTAGTAGTAGTAGCAGCAGTAGTGGTGGTGGTGGTGGTGGTGCTGGGTATTGAATCTAAGGCCTTGAACATTCCAGACAAATGCTCTACCACTGGCATACACCTCAAGACCTATGTCCTAGTTCTTTAAAAAATAGTCTATTGAAAATGATAGTAAAATATCTGTGTTTCTGTAGGTGTATGCGCATGTGAGTGCAGTGCCCAAGGAAGCCAGAAGAGGGTGCTGGATCTTCTGGACCTGGGGTTATAGGCAATTGCGGTGCACTGGATGTCCATGCTGGGAATGGAATGCTGTGAGGGCAATATTCTTTCTAAACCCATCTCTCTAGCCCCATATATCTTATTTCTTAATTATAGGAGGAGTTATCTTCTCATCAATACATCTGCTTGAACCTGTGCACTTGACTGGGTGAAGGATGCTTTTTGGTAAAAAGTTGGGATGCAGTAGAGCCAGCTAGTGTTCATTTAATCTACCCAGATTTTCCCATCACATCTAATCTACACCACACTGTTGTCCTGAAGACTTTTAGGGGAATTGTTGTCAAACACTTGGATTTCTGTGAACTTGGATGGCTTCTAGGTTAGGAAGGGGGAGGTCTGAGGTGCTCCTCCAATGGCAGATGGAACTATCTTTATAGATAGTGGCAGAGAGAAGGGGTCACCAACCTCAGGGAGGAAGATACAAGCTAGATGCTGCCTGGCTATGCTGCTGTTCGGAAACTCCATGTTGGGAAGTGTTCCATGACATAGAACAACTGAAGAGCATAGTTACAAGATCCTCAGGGTGGCCAGGCTCATGCAAGTTGCTTAAGGGGTCATGCAGCTTCTCCAGGGTTGCATAGTGTCCCATTAGGTTGATGCTTTGAGGAACTTTCTCCCCAGACTTTCCCTCTAGATCCAGGAAGAAGCATATTGCCTAACAGCCATCCCTGTGGCCTGCACCCAACCTCTGTTCCACACTTTGAGCAAATGACACAGGTGCAGGGTCTTGGAATCTGTCAGCTCATTCCCCTTCGGGATTGACATGATGTGTACAGCTCAGTTTCTAGAAGCTGGAGAAGCACTGTTTCTAACTTTTGTTTTTCGTTTTCCACATGTCACTCATAGTGAGAAATAAGTTTTCTGTTGATGATTCTGAGTTAAGTACATCAATACATTGCTCTAAGGAGCAATCTTCTGAGTGGTTCCACCTACCACTCAGAAAAACATCTTTCTGAAATAACAGCCTCTTAAGTCCTTGTCATTTGGACCTAGTCCATTAGAAAGAAAACCCATCCTGTCCTCAGTGTCCCTTGTCTTGACTGAATGTCTCTGTGGACAATACTCAAGGAGGGTATGAGACACAAGTGGCCAAACTCACTCCTCAAAATGGATACCAAAAGACTGGATAGGTGGTCAAGACCCTGGCTTTGACACTTGGCTATCCTGGAAACTAATCCAGGCTGCCTCTCTGTCTGTGACATGAGTGTAACAATACCACTGCCTTCGGGATTGCTGTGAGGGTCAGATAAGAACACTGGTTGGGTACTTAGTGGTCATTATCCTTCAGATGTCTGACCATACACAGCCAGTCTAGCACGAGCTCCTGTGTCCACTGAACCTTGGACCATGCATCCCTGAGAAGACAACCAAGTGAGTTATGGCTCATCTCTTCCCTTCAGAGTGGCTTCACTGCTTCACAAATGAGGGGAAGGTTTGATTTCATTGGGCTGGGCCACCTTCCACCTGCAGCCTCTGCAGCAGGCTGCGAGAGCCACTCGCTCTGTGTACCGCAGGTACAGGCTGCAGGGAACTTACCACTGCGGAGATGTTCTCATGGTAATGCTTGTAGGTAAAGCCATCGAACATTGTGATGGTGGCCAGGGCTTCCAGAACTGAGGCACTGAGGTAAAACAGGGCAGCCACACAGTGGTAGGCTGCATCCTGTGGGTGAAAAGGATTGTGTCAGAGATGAGAAGAAACACCCCAGTCCAAACTTGGAGACAAAGCCCTCAAATTACCTGCTCCCATCTTTGTCCCTGGCCACTGCCTTTGAATCATACCCATAACCCCTAAGTCTACCAGTTGAATGGAGATTTGATGGCTGTTGGCTGAATTTCCTTTCCCTGGGTAGATCCCACAGTGAGCTCTTTAGTGGAAGAGGATGCTGTTTTCTCTGAGGTATTAAAGAGGGATTTTGGAGTGTGTGCTGATTGTTCTTTGTTATTAACTTGACAGGACTAGAAACTTCTCTGAGGAACACCTCCGGGTGTGTCTTTGAGGTTGTTCCCACAGAGGTTTAACTGAGGATGGATGACTCATCCGGAATGTAAATGGCACCATCCCATAGGCTGGGGTCCCAGACTGAACCAGGAAGAGAAAGTAGCCGAGCACAAACATTCATCCTTCTGCTCTCTGATTACTGACAGATGAGATTAGCGCTTCACCTCTTTTGCGATTAACCCTTCCCTACCATGATGGACCATACCCACAAACCATGAGCTGCATGCACCCTTCTGTAAACTGCTCTTTATCAGGTATTTTTCCACAGCAACAAGAAACATAACACATATAGGATTACAGGTAGAAATAAAAACTGGTTTTGGACCCCAAGATCAACTGTGCATGCTTACAGTCCTGGCTTAGATGCAGGCTCTTTGTCCAGGGAGAGAGAAGCCTGGGCCATTTCCATTGCTTTCATTTTGTTGTGTTGGTCTTATTTATTTCTTTTGGCTCCTGGTGTATTTCAAAGCAAAAAGGAACTGCGACACTGTTCTGTGTGGTTGTAATTTGGAAGTGATTTCAAAAGTGCAAGTAGAAAGGCCATGGAGAGGTATCAGCCTAGCCAAGTGGCCTGACCCTCTTTAGTTAATAATAAGGAAAGTCCCCCTTGTATTTATTTGAGGCCTGTCTCCGGGACCTCAAAGAAGAACTTACTACAAAAAGAAAGAACACAGGCCATTTTGGCGCCCAAGTCTTCTGGAAAGCGTGTGCTTAGACTGTAGTCGCCATAAGGCATGGTCTGGCCACTAGGGAGCCATCAGCTTATACCCAGCCTTCAGGACTTTGCTCCCCAGGACAGTAGCTATCCTGGATAGTGGAAGTACCTGAGAGCTATCAGGTGCACATGGGTTGGGGCGCTGGCTCTCCTTGAAAAGGCTATAGCAGATAAGAAAGCAGAGCACCCCATGAGATTCTGCAGTAAGTCCTGATCCTGCCTCTCTGCTCTGACCTCCTCAACGCAGGAAGCCCTCACTGCCATGAAGAATCTGAACCAAGGCCAGGCCAACTCAGCTTTGGATTTGTGCTGGAAAATGTTTCCAGGGAAGGCCCAGTTCAGGGTTGGAAAAGTAGTCTTCCAGTCATATGGTTCCAGCACTGTCCCCCTCCCCATTCACAAATTCCCTGGGCCAGCACTCACCAGTGTGATCCAGGAAGCCTCCCCGCCATGAGTACCAATGATGTACATGACCATCAGGGAAGTGGTGGCCACAAAGCAGAACACCGACACGAACATCACCCAGCCCTGGATCAGGGGCAAGGGCACCAGGGAGGAGGCGATCAGGATCCACACCAGGCCTCCAAAGATCTGCAGGGAGGAAAGAGAGAGAGAAACAGAGAGAGAGAGAGAGAGAGAGAGAGAGAGAGAGAGAGAGAGAGAGAGAGAGAGAGAGAGAGAGAGAGAATTGGAACAGGGCAAAGCACAGGTCACCAAGGGGCTCAAACCCTAGCTCAGAGCCATAGCAGGAGCTCAGGGACTCTGGGGTTGCAGATACACAGAAAGCATACAACAAGGGTAGGCATGGGCCTCAGCAAAAACATCTCTTTTATCTTCCAGTGCCACAGGCTAGACCTTCAGTCTCACCTTTTGCCATCGCCTGCTGGCTTACTTTGTTTCATTTCTTTCTTTCTTTCTTTTTTTTTTTTTTTTTAAGGTTTTTCGAGACAGGGTTTCTCTGTATAGCCCTGGCTGTCCTAGAACTCACTCTGTAGACCAGGCTGGCCTCGAACTCAGAAATCCGCCTGCCTCTGCCTCCCAAGTGCTGGGATTAAAGGCGTGCACCACCACCACCCGGTTCTTGTTTCATTTCTTAAATACGATTTTTCATTTATTTAACAAATGTTGTATCACACCTGGGCATTGTATTAAACGCCCCATAAACATTGACTCTGGTACCTCCAGCAACAGTGTTTTATGGGCAAGAAATGGACATATTTGTCAAATGGTATAAGGGAGGCATGTGAAAGCATTGCAAGAACTTGAGTATTTAGTGTTAGCATTCGAATGCCTACCCTTCCTTCTGAGTGTCTGTTCTTCTCAACAAGTGCCTTGCTATTAAAATATTCCTTATATTATAAAACAGTAAGCAGCCAGCTGGGGGTGACAGTACAGGTCTCCAATGCCAGTGCTAGAGAGGTAGAGGTAGGAGGGTGGCAAGTTCAGGGCCAGCCTAGGCTAAACAGTGAGTTGTAGGCCAGCCTAAGCTACATAGTGAGACCCTGTATCAAAATATCATGTAGCCAATGGTAGAAGTCACTTGTCTAGCCACTGTAAGACCCTGGGTTCAATCTCCAGCAACAGAAAAAAATTGTAGCAATCAAGAGATTTTTTTTTAGGTTTATTAATGGGTAAACATACTAGCTACACTATATTATTGGCACTTTTTTCCCCTCAGACTCAGAGTCTTGGACCCTGAAGTGTAGGAAGTTCTCTAACTGTTGGTGTTGAAATTGGAGTGGAGGGGTCACAGGTTGGCCATCTGCTTGAGAAGAGCACACCTCAGGGATAGCCAAAAGAGATCACCATTGATGTCCCCAGGGTTGGAGAGCTCCTAGCAAAAGAGCTTCCAGAAGCCAGTGGGATGGTGGAGTCACATGAGCCTCCCTGGGATTGTCTCTGCTTCTCTCTGACCCCTCTTCAGCTCAAGCATTAGGAGATGGCTCTGCAGTAAAAAGTCTGGAGAGCACTGTGGTAGAGCAGGGCACTTCCTTCTGAGAATTTGGGGCTGAGGGCAGTCAACACTCCCAGCCTTGTGTTGCAGGTAGAATGGGACCTGCTTTTAAAGGCGGCATTGAAGAATGGTATGGAGAAAAGCAATGGTCACTTAAGTCTGTCTGTCTGGTCCTTTAGTGTGGGATATTTCTCTCCTACGTACCCTTGGTCTGGTCACCTTATAACCATCCAGGGCCAATTTAAGTCAAGCTATTTGTCTGTATGCGTCAAGGGAATTCTGTATCTGGCAAGAGGTAAAAGGTGCTTTGTGTGATCAGGTAGTTTTGGGAGTGAAGTCTGCTTTGATCACAGAAGCAAGCTCCCTGGGTGGGGGTGCTAGGGGAACCCATCCATTCCATCTCCCAGCTAGCCATCTTCCATATAATCACCCTCCCAACCATGCTTGTTAAATGGCCGGACTAAACCATCACAGGAGCAGCTTAGGTTACCTGTATGTGCGGGAGCACTACTCTGTAGAATCTATGTGGGGTCCTGTGGGCTGCAAGTGCTTATGGGAGGCTCATAGGCTTGACCTTGAAGGACGACGAGTGCCACAGAAGAAAGGAGTCTCTTTCAGTCCAATCCACCCTCGCAACTCTTGCCAAAGGGCTGAGTGGATCAAGACATTCAGACTCCCTCAGACCACAGCCAGCGAAGGTAGACTGGGTGATGACTATATTTTATGTTTGCTGTGGCTATATCATTGCTTTTAGGACAGTGTGAAATGCATAAGTTAGGCTACTGTGCATGGGTACCTGCAAATGTCAGACTTCGAAATGGCTTTCAGTTCCTGGTCTGCAGAAGTATGGCTTGTATTTTATGTCCCTTACATCACCCCTTTCAACTCTCTTCTCCACTATGGGAACACACACAGGAATTGTGAACGGAAGTCAAAGGTGGGGCAGCAAGCAAGCCAGAGTGAAATAACACAGGGTTTGCCAAGGTCTTCCTAGATGCCAGAACTGAGCTGGATCTGAGTTTCTGGCCAATGCCTGACTTGATTCAGGCTGCTTGAGTGAGTGCTTTCATCCTCTGCTGGAAACTGTGCTCTAGTTCTCTCTCTCTTTCTCTCTCTCTCTCTCTCTCTCTCTCTCTCTCTCTCTCTCAATCTCTCTCTCTCTCTCTGAGAAAGACAGACAGACAGAGAGATAGACAGGCACAGATATATACAGAGAGAGGGAGGGAGGGAGAGAAGAGAGTGATCCCCAGAGTCCAGTCAGAACCATTGTACACAATTGTCCAGAGAATGAAACGCATCTTGTACCTAAGTCCAACCCCCAGCCCCTGACAGTCCTCAGGACCTGCCTCTGAGCTTGCCACCTAGCAACCTGGATCTTCTGAAAATTAGGTGTCCCCTCCACCCTTTAAACAGTATAAACAGCAGTAGGTTTCACAGTGAGGTACGGTTCTCCCTGTCTGCCTTCCTTTCTTTCTCTCTGTCCAGCTTTTGAGACAGGGTCTCTCGCTATAGCCCAGGCTAGCCTGGAACCATGTTACTTCAGTTGGTCTCTAACTCATGTCAATCATCCTGTCTCCACTCCCTGGGGGCGGGGGTGGGACTATAGACCTGAGCCATCATGTCCATCTGTCTTTATAACATTGTTAATGAGATGCAACTCACACATGGTACAGTTCATGCACTGAAGATCCACACTTCAATGATGTTTAATAGATTCATACATACAAACTAACCATCACCTTGGTTGACTTTAGATAACTTTCATAAATTCAAAATTCTACAATCAGTAGGCTTTTATCATTATATTTAGCATAATGACTCCCAAGGTGAATCCTTCTCTTCCAGGAGGATCCCTGGAAAACAACTGTATTATCACAATTCCCACCAGTCCCCTGTGAGGTGTCTGAAAGCCACAGTGCCACTGGCTCCTAGGATGAGCTGGCTGTGGTGATGGTACATATCTAGGAGCTCATCAAACACCATCTGGATTTACTAAACACCTAGAGACATTCTTCCATCAGTTTCCTGTTTGCGTTACACCTCAGATTAGGGGCCGGAGACTTTGAAGACATCATTGCCAGCTCTGGCTTTTGCCCTCCTGTCTGGCAATAGGTCTTCCCTATGCCCACTACTGCCTGGCTGAATAGGTGGGGAGCAGAGAAGGGAACGCAGGACGGAGCAGACAGGTGTGGGAATGAGGAGGTGTCTGTGAAGGTGTCTAAGTAGCATCGGAGGGAATATGAGGCATGTGGCTAAGAAGACTCACAGCCCCATGGAGAAGGCCGGAGGATGAGGGGAACAGAGCTGAGGAGAGAGCGTATTCCCAGACAGCGTTTAGAAGACTTTTATCATTCTTCACTGGGTACTCTCCGATTTGGAGAGTGGCCTTTTTCGAGACAGGGTTTCTCTGTGTAGCCCTGGCTGTCCTGAAACTCACTCTGTAAACCAGGCTGTCCTCGAACTCAGAAATCCACCTGCCTCTGCCTCCCAAGTGCTGGGATTAAAGGTGTGTGCCACCACTGACCGGCGGAGAGCGGCCTTTTGCTCCTGTCAGTTCTCCATTGACAGCTGCAGCAGCTGTGGGTGTACGAAGGCTTCCACACCTGTGGATTTAACCAATTGCAGACTTTAAAAGTGGAAAACCCAGGCATGGTGGTGGATAGCTGAAACTCAGGAATCTGAGATATGTTTATGCATTGAGGCTAGACTGAACTATAGACTGAGACCCTGTCTCAAAACTTACAATGAAATGTTTGGAGGAAAAGAAAGCCTGCATCTGAACTGGATGTAGTTTAGACTACTTTTTTTCTGGCCTAATGAAGGCTAATAGCTGGTCCTGAGCAGGTGAGGTGACTGGCCTGGAGCATGGTGCCTTAGAAGCAGAGGTGGATTTAGCTAGTTAAGGAGAACATAGGGCCAGGGTAGGCTTCTCCGGTGGGATAGAGACTATACCACAGAAGAGGATGCTGGAGCAGGTTTCACAGCTCCAGAGGGTGGGGCACGATATAAGAGCAGTGGGTAGCAGAAGCTGGGGTGGAGGAAAGGCAAGCCATGGAGAGCTGATATTTAGAATGAATCACGGGGGCCAAAGCCTGTTTGCACCCCACTCCACCTTCAGGTTGTCCAGAGGGCAAACAGAGAGAGCAAGCAGGGTGCCCACACCCGGGAGATAAGCCACTCCTGGGCAGTGAGCAATCCTCTCAGGCCTGGCTTCAGGACCCCGCTGGCCAAATATTTGTCAAGTACATGGGGATAGGTGAGGGTTCAAAACCATTTCTTTGTGTAATGAAAACTCTAGGTGTCTTTCAGCTCTTGGGCTCCAAACACACATACATGATTGTTAAAAAGCAAACATTCTACAACCAGGTGGGGGTGGGGCCCTGGGATCTGTTCATGTTAAAGCCGGGTTCCTCCCCCCAACCCTCCCACCCTCGCTCCCACATCCATTCCATCACACCACAGACAGCAGAGTAGCTGCCAACAGTGATCTCTCAAATGACGCTCTCCAAGCTGCTGTCCTGGGAGCTACAGGGATTGATCAGTTCCTCTGGGCCCCAGTGCTCCAAGCTGGAAAACGGGAATAGAACCTGGATTGATACCCTAGGGTCCTAATCCATGACTAGGCATCAAATTATCT